TATTAACAGCATTAGGGAGCAATTACAGCTTAATGGCTGTCTAAATCCATTATCAGTGTACATTTAACCTTTAAATATTCAAAGATAATATTTAATTTGAACAAATGAATGGACTGCCAGTGAGACCAAATCTCTCTAGGACTGTTCTGGTGTTTTTTAAGAGGTAGCGTTTCTGAATAAATTGCCCCGTATAGCAAGATTGTGTTCACTTCTACTATAGATGTACAGTTTGCACTCACGCTGATTAAACATCTGCTAAAAAAAACAACACACGATGTGTTAATAGAAGGCCAGGAAAAAACGTTAGTCACCAGCATTATTATAGTTAGAAATACTAAGTATATGCAAGTGAGGCTCGATAATGATCAGCTACACAGTTACTAATGCATGGGTAGAGCAATCAATGGTCAGTATCAATAACTGTTATTTGCAGTCAGTGGAATGTACGGACGATTCCCACATTCCAAAAAATGCTGGGCACACTGGAACAGGCTGCCAAACCTCCATTTGAATTATTATTATTTTATTATTTCATTATTTATATAGCGCCAGCAAGTTCCGTAGGTCTGTACAATGGGTATTATTATTATTTTATTATTTCTATAGCCCCATCAGATTCCGTAGCACTGTACAATGGGCTATGAATGTTATTAAAATGTACACATATACGTTATGATCGTATTTCAACCAACAGCCATGGGATATTGCAGGTTTCTGTAATACATTTTATTTATTTTTTTTATTAAAAAAAAAAAATTTATATAAAGTAACAAAAAAAAAACAAAGTTGCCATTCTGTCTAATAGATGAAGCCAAAGGGGAAGCACTGCCTATTATAAAAATTAATTCCAGTTTTTAAATCAGTAAAATGTATCTGTCGAAAGTACCTGCCAGCGTTTCCTGCCCACCTTCTAGCACAGAAGTGAGAAAGGAAGAAGGCCAAAGGGGCAGGAATGGGTGCACACTAAATTGGGTGGCCCCGTCAAGCAGACAAATTTCTAAAGAATTTGGGTCAACTTTTTCCCAGATGTTATTCTGGTTAAGTATGTTTTGTTGTATTATTAGATCATACACAAGAACAAAATTCGAATTATGAGATTCACATCTACAGTCTGATGTTGCTGTCTCTCAGCTTTAAAAGTAAAGAAGTGTCAATTAGAGTTAAGCAAAACATCTCAAGGGCTGCACCGTTCCTGTGGAGATATTCTAGGTCCCTGTATTGCACAGTCTGTTTAATTTAGAATTTCCTATCTTCTGCTCTGTTAATAGTCTCCTAGACAGGAATCTCCTGTGTGTGATTACAAATCAATTTACAGAGCAGGAGATAAAAACATCTAAGGGCAGTTAACATCTGATTGAAAATGAAAACATTTTTCTTTATGCAGGTTGTGTGAGTCACAGCCAGTGGAGGTGTGGCTAGGGCTTCATAAACAAAAACAAAAATGTTTAACTCCCACATGGCAGAGAATTGAGCAGTGAGACTGCAGGGGCATGTTCTATACACTAAAACTGCTTCATTAAGCTAAAGTTGTTTTGATACCTATAGTGTGCCTTTAACCCTGCAGCTAAAAACATTGCAGTTTTTGATAAACAGAAGTGTTTACATTGCTGGGTTAGTCCAAATAGAAAAGAAAAAAAGTAAAGATATCCACAGAGCCTACTGCTAAACTCATGAATCCCAGCCAGCAAACAGCACCAAAACCTTAAGGGCTTAAACCCTCAAACATTAAAGGGACACTATAGTCACGAGAACAACTACAGCTAATTGTAGTTGTTTTGGAGAGTATAATTAGTTCCTGCAAGCTTTTTTGCAGTTAAAACAGGCCTTTCAGAGAAAAAGCAGTGTTTACATTGATTATATGCTTTCCTATGCAAAGGTCTAATATGATAGGCTGAGATCATCACTTCTGATGATGTCAGCCAAAGAGGCAGATCAGACAGCCAGCACCAGAAGACTGAAATATAGGTGTTTATTATATTTAGGGGGCAAAGTGGGTAACACTATAGGGTCAGGAATACATGTTTGTATTGATCCTATAGTGTTCCTTTAAATTAATGTCCACAAATATACTAAGGTATTAACAAAGTATTTCTGACACATGGCAGAGATAATAAGTCTGGTTAAACTCTGAAGTAGTGATACTTTGTAATGGATATATCAAATAACCTAAGAAAAATAAACAAAGTAACTAAACACTCTTTTGTAGTGTAACATATTGTTGCTCAAGTCTTTTACTACAGCAGGCTTTGTAAAATGGAAGGTTATCTGTTCATTTTGTGGTTCAAGGAGCTTAGCACATCCCAAATTCATTACACAGGTTATGTGATGCAGAGAGAGGTAGACCACTTGTAATAACTGCCAGTTCTCCAGCTGAAACAAAACATACGATCAACATGAAATTTAAATATAAAAGATAAAGAAAACTGTGAAAAACAGAAAAAAGAGGAATGCCCTCCCAGACAGTAACTCTGCACACCGTACATGTAAACATCCAGCGTATTGCAAAACCCCTTAGGAAAGCACTGAGTCAATGCTTTCCTATGGTAAAGACCTGATGCCAATGAGCACTCACCACACGTACACAAGAAGTTCCCGGATTACGCTGATGTCAGAGAACCCTTTAACCCTTTCATGGCCAGGGGACCAAGAGGGGACGGGACACACAGGCAGAGGGACACTGCAGTATTAAGGAATACAGTATATACAATATAGTTCCTTTGAGAAGCCAAAAACTGTTCACGTAGTACGACCTATCTTCACACATAGCAAATTAAGCCCACAAGTTTATAATACATTGTAATAAAATAGAAAATGGAACAAAGGGTTTCTGCAACAGATTAAAAAGGCGAAACCATTAGATCCGTGGGCGACTGACTGTAAGAACGGTTCACCTGCCGCTCTGAAACCGGTCCAATGTAGGTGGTTTTTACTCACTGTTTCATTTATAGAAATGATCAAATATGCAGCAACTAGGCAGATACAGTACATCTGCATGAAATACCATCTATCAGACGCACACTTAACACAATTGTGCTAACATTTTAACCCCTTAGGGATCAAACTTCTGGAATAAAAGGGAATCATGACATGTCCCACATGTCACGTGTCCTTAAGGGGTTAAATCCTAGCCTAAAAGCTTGGCCTTAAAATATACTCAGCACCGCAAGTTACAGCATGTTCATCACAGCGAAATTTTCACTTGCCAATGTCTACGGAAAATGTTGAGCCTTGTTAAATTGAGAAAAGAATTTGCACTCTAGGGTTTGCAATCAAGATCATTTTAGGTACCTGGCGCTTATTCCAGCAAATATCGTGTAATAGGAGAAAATATGATAGTACCAGATTTTTTATGAAAAAATTAGACATAGTTTTTTTTTAGTTATCACAATTTCTATAATGTATATATGATCAGGTGAATGCAGCCCTATTGTATGTAAGTGTGTGTGTATATATATACAAACATATTTTCACTCTTACTCACTGAGATATCCACAAGTGAATAGTGCCATGGATATACAATTAAAATAAACCTATTTATTGACCTTTTAGCAGAACCCAAATGTATAGGATTTTTTTTTTTTTTGTAGCATGGAACTGAACAGACAGATGACTGACATAAGTGACTTTCTAACTCTCCAACATTTGGGCATTAAACACTTTCATAACTGGAGTTTTGAGCTAATCCTAATCTCTCATTTTAAAAAAAAAACGCAACACTCCAATTTTAAAGTGTTATTCCAACCACTACAACCACTTCAGTGATTTGAAAAGGTGGTAGGAGTTAGTATGTGCAGTATTTCAACCTACAGTTGTGTGCTGGAGGCTAGTTGCACCCCCACCACACGTGACATTATGGGCTGTCAATGTCAATTCTTTGCATAAAAACATCTGATGTCAGCCTACACAAAACACTGGCAACAGTTGTGATAAGTTGTTCTTGCAGGCAGAGCACTCTCCTCCAGGGGCGGACTGAGAGCCTTTGGGGCCCCCGGGCAAAATTAGATCCCAGGCCCTTTGAAGGCCAAATATATGTGCATTTTAATAAATGTTAAATATAATTCATAATACGGCATTCCTTTGGATGTGTGTATTGTGAAGACCTGTGTATCAATGCATGTTTGTATTTGAGTCTGTGTGAATGCACTTGTGCATGTCTGGATGACTACATGTGCTTTTTTGTATATAGTGTCTGTGTGAATGCATATGTGACAGGTGACAGAGTGTGTGAGGGAGAAGGTGACAGGTGGAAGAGTGTGGGAGGTTGTGACAGGTGGCAGAGTGAGGGGGTACCTGGTGGCAGAGTGAGGGAGGGGTTGAGTGGTGGCAGAGTGAGGGGGAGACACAGTGAGTGGGGGTGACTGGTGACAGAGTGAGGGAGTGGGTGACTAGTGACAGAGGGAAGGAGAGGGGGAGACTAGTGACAGAGGGAGGGAATGGGAGACTAGTGACAGAGTGAGGGAATGGGTGACTAGTGACAGAGTGAGGGAATGGGTGACTAGTGGCAGAGTGAGGGAGGGAAGGGGTGACTAGTGACAGAGTGAGGGGATGACTGGTGACAGAGTGAGGGGGGGTGACTGTCACTAGTCACCCCATCCCTCTCTCTGTCACTAGTTACTCCCTCCCTAACTCTGTCACTGTGTCACCCGCTCCCTCACTCTGTCACTACTCACCCCCTTACTCGGTCACTGTGTTACCCCTCTCTCACTCTGTCACTAGTCACCCCCTCTCTCACTCTGTCACTAGTCACCCCCTCCCTCACTATGTCACTAGTCACCCCCTTCCTCACTCTGTCACTAGTCACCCCCTCTCTCACTCTGTCACTAAGGACAGAGGGGTGATTAGTGACAGAGTGAGGGAGGGGGTGACACAGTGACAGAGTTAGGAGGGAGTGATTAGTGACAGAGAGAGGGATGGGGTGACTAGTGACAGTCACCCCCTCCCTCACTCTGTCACTAGTCACCCCCTTCCCTCTCTCTGTCACTCCCTCACTCTGTCACTAGTGTGAGGGGGTTACTAGTGACAGAGTGAGGAAGGGGTGACTAGTGGCAGAGTGAGGGAAGGAAGGGGTGACTAGTGACAGAGTGAGGGAGGTGGTGACTGTTACTAGTCACCACCTCCCTCTGTCACTACTCCCTCCCTTCTTCTGTCACTAGTCACCCCCTCCCTCACTCTGTCACCAGTCATCCCCTCCCTCACTCTGTCACCAGTCATCCCCTTCCCTCACTCTGTCACCCCCTCATTCTGTCAATAGTCACCCCCTCACTCTAGTGACAGAGTGAGGGAGGGGGTGACTAGTGACAGAGTGAGAGAGAGGGTGACTAGTGACAGAGTGAGGAAGGGGGTGGTGACTGTCACTAGTCACCCCCTCCCTCTCTCTGTCACTAGTCACCCCTCCCTCTCTCTGTCACTAGTGACACCCTCCCTCACTCTGTCACTAGTGACACCCTCCCTCACTCTGTCACTAGTGACACCCTCCCTCACTCTGTCACTAGTCACCCCCTCCCTCTCTCTGTCACTAGTCACACCCTCCCTCTCTCTGTCACTAGTCACCCCCTCCCTCTCTCTGTCACTAGAGTGAGGGGGTGACTATTGACAGAGTGAGGGGGTGACTATTGACAGAGTGAGGGGGGTGACTAGTGACAGAGTGAGGGGGGTGACAGAGTGAGGGGGTGACAGAGTGAGGGGGTGACAGATGACAGAGTGAGGGAAGGGGTGACTAGTGACAGAGGGAAGGAAGGGGTGACTAGTGACAGAGTGAGGGAGGGAGTGGGTGACCAGTGACAGAGGGAGGGGGTGACACAGTGAGGGAGGTGGTGACTGTCACTAGTCACTAGTCACCACCTCCCTCCCTCTGTCCCTAGTCACCCCTCCCTCTGTCACTAGTCACCCCTTCCCTCCCCAACGCTGTCAACTAGTCACCACTTCCCTCCCTCACTCTGTCACTAGTCACACCCTCCCTCACTGTCACTAGAGTGAGGGGGTGACTAGTGACAGAGTGAGGGAGGTGGTGACTGTCATTAGTCACCACCTCCCTCTATCACTACTCCATCCCTCCTTCTGTCACTAGTCACCCCCTAACTCACTCTGTCACCAGTCATCCCCTCACTCTAGTGACAGAGTGAGGGAGGGTGTGAGTAGTGACAGAGTGAGGGAGAGGGTGACTAGTGACAGAGTGAGGGAGAGGGTGACTAGTGACAGAGTGAGGGAGAGGGTGACTAGTGACAGAGAGGGGGGGTGACTGGTGACAGTGAGGGGGGGTGACTGGTGACAGTGAGGGGGGGTGACTGGTGACAGTGAGGGGGGGGTGACAGTGAGGGAGGGGGTGAC